CTAAATGATCCCGTGCTACTCGAAAAGTATACTCGGAATAAAAAGCAAGGTTATAAGTGATTAGAGATATTTCAAGTCCCATGCTTTATTCAGAGAGGCGAAAAAAAAATTGGGAATCGAAGTATAAGTAATATTGTAATTTCGTCGCTTTTAAGAGTAAAAGTTCCATTGTTTTCAGTCGGAATCTATTATTGTTTAGCATTTCTTGTTACTTCAAAAGGTCTCTCAATCGGGATGGAATGGAAAAAAACAACTTGCAAGTTTTGAAACTGGAGGCTGAAGTAGAAGGGAACTTGGCAACAAAATGCATCTGCAAACGCTATTTCATACTTGATCGGTCGTGCATCGATTATGTCATGGTTGGTGAAAGCGTAAAGTTTATCCTCACAACATGTAAATAAAAATCGCACGAGCAAAGTAATCAATATTTCACTTACGTATGCTTTCAGCTGCTAAGGGAAAATCTCCTCTTTTAGTCTTTATCTCGTTTACTCGATCCTCTACAAACTCCTCAACTGTTTTTTAAGTCGGCAAACCTAGAAGCTATGATTCTTGGCAAACAGGGAACGTTGTTAAGATTCACGCTCATTCACTTTGACGAGCTGCAGCGCCCCCAAGAGGCGGGAAAACCGAGACGATTGTTTTCGTATGCGATCCTTGACTTGTCATACGATTTTTTTTTCCATTTGTCAGGGAAAACGTCGAAATCACGCTGTTTGCATCTTTCGACAGCCCATCTTTGTTTGACAGCTTTGTTAAGGGTCCTAAGATTTAACAGAGCGGTAACGGGGATCAGATAAAATCGATCGTGACACAACCAAAATCCTTTCCCCCCCCCCCCCCCCCCCCCCCCCCCCCCTCTCTTAAGTGATAAATGATGATTTGTCTCTTGATAAAAACTAGCGTGTATTATGTTATGAATCAAATTTTCATTCAAACAAGAGTCACTAATGACAGATTATCGCGAATTCAACTTTTTTTCTGTGAATATCCATTTCCAGAGGAAGTAATTTTGAACTTGCTTCCCTAATTTCGTACTCAACTTCTCTGTGATACCAGCCACGATTCAGTGCTTAACTTTGAATAGGCTGATGAAAAACAATAGAAAATGAATAAACCATGATTTAATAACGCCGAACATGATTCCCGTTTGCCATAATAGAGCTCAATATTTGTTGCCAATGGAAGAACAGATCGGTCAACCATGTAACGACTCGCGCTTAGGATACAAGATGGAGTGTGACCTCTCCAATTTGAAAAGGGAGGGAAGCTGACGCTCATGTCATATTTTCAACTAACAAGTATTCATAACTTCCTAATCCCACTCAATCAGCAGGTTTCCAACGGAGATTCTTCAGACATTTCTTATGAGTTTTCCTTTACATTTCAATGGCCGCTACCCTCCCTCCGTCCCTCGAACTTATTCTAGCTGTATATTTTAACATGGACACAATACACGTTAAATCACAAATTAAGTTCATCTAGCGTTGATTTGCCGACAAAAATTTTACTTTAGGACATTGAAGATCAACATGAATCGCTTGCAGTATGTTTGTTGAAACACTAGAGGTGATTTTAAATTGCGATGCAGACTAAATCGACTGATTGCATGTAAACCACTCACACAGTTTTTTTTTATCTATTTTTTTTTTAATTTTCTTTCAATGACTAGCATCGCCAGCGGGAAGCGAGCTGCGTGTCCTGATTGTGTCCCATTTGGAAGTGTTTTCGCAGTTTTTATACACCTCACTCCGTCGGCTCGGCTGTTGACGAAATGTCGTTGAGCAGAAGCCGGAACTAACACAACTTGTATTTAAATACGTTATGTGAGTTACCTTGATTCGCAGGCGGAGAGTAAAATTACGGACCTTTGCCCGCTTACTCCACTCAAGCTACATTTTGATCTTAATTGTCTTGTCCACATTGGCCATCTTAGACTACCGTTCTGCGTTTTCAGGGTAAGTGAAAGGTAAGCGTCTTGAGGTAGTTAAATTGGGCTGTTACATTCTGAAATACTTTTGAAAGATGCAAAAATTGCAGAAGATTGGTGAAAAGACTGTGGTTCTCAGCGAGAAGTCGGTCGCACCTACTCAGATAACCTGACGGTCGTCTGGCGAATCATTGCAAATCATGTTCCCGATAACATTTCCCAAAAACGTAGAGTATTAAGTCTACGAGAAATTTGGGTGAACCATAATGTTATTAGGGCGGAAAATTAGTAAAAGGACCTGTGTTTTTTTATGCGGTCGTTTCCAGATGATAGTCTAGCGAGTCGCTGTAAATTGCTCTATCTAAGGCATGTCTTGTCTTAATTATTGAGTGATGACCATTACAACGCCTGTAAACATGCAGAAAATGAAAACTAAATTGTCTTCTTCTGAATTGTTGGTCTCATAACTTGTCGAAGAATCTAACTCTACAAATTCCGTAAAACCGAACAGAATTCGCCTACTTTCACCTCGAATAAAAGTTCGTAACAGTGCTCGGAAAGTCCTGATCATTGCTTGATACTATACGCAGCTTTCATATTTTGAATATTTTCTCCCCTGATAAAATCAAACACTCCCTTTCGTATATCATCAGCAAGCGATTACCACTTATGTGTCCTTCATTTCTACCGAAGTGGATTTGACCTTTTGGCTGTTTCGGTTATTTTGAAAAATTATGTGCCTCTCGAGACTTTGCAGCCTTCTCTCGGCTCTCCTCTGTAAGACAAGGACGAAGAATCATTAAAGTTTGCATTGATCTTTGCTGCTGAACAACAAACGACACTTTACTGAAAGAAAGACGGCTAAAAGTCTACTACTCGCATCTAATACAATTTTACAAATTTGCTAAGCGCGGACCTG